AATAGGACAAACTTTGAAAACATCTTCTGAATTGCATAAAAAACAATTTGCCTGAGGAAAAATAAATAGAAAGGCCATTCACTCTCCCATCCATTTTCATTTCCACAATCAAAGGTTAATGATAAAATATGATCTTTTGGTGTGCAAACTGCAAGTTGAAAAATTGTCATTAGTTAAACACTGATTTTACCAATCACTTTAATTTCCTTAAATGGAGACAGACATTTATTCTTTGAGCGTTTTCCTCTGCTCTCAATAATCTCTACAGTACCTGCTCAGAGGTTATAACCATACTGAAGTAGAAATATATATAATTTATCTGTATTCAACACTACAGTGTTGGTTCAGGCACATTGTGTAATATGTCAGCTGTTTTAACATATCTTAAGCAGCTCCAACACTTACAGCTACACATCAAAGGACAGGACCAACCGGTCATCTCATGCTACATATCAAAGGACAGCTACACATCAAAGGACAGGACTTGGGACAAGACCAACCGGTCATCTCATGCTACATATCAAAGGGCAAGAAGAATAACCATGAAGTGGTGAAACAAAACATCTTCCTGAGATCATACTGTATATAAGCCTTGCAGTGTTGTCTGTCCTGCGGGGCAGACCCAACGCGCGTTTATGTCATTATTGAGCTCAATAAAACAACTGAATCCACAAAGACTGTGTCCTGCTCTTTGGATGAAGGATTTCCCACAACAATACCACTGTACAGTACAATACAAATATTAACTCCTACTCGGAGAGATCTGCGAAACGAGACAGACTTTCATCTCTAAAATGCCCTTTTGCTAATTCTACATAACTAATATCCAAACAAAAACTGTTGAATTGGGTAGGCTTTAGGCTATAATATTTAACAGATAAATCACAAGCAACATTTTAATAGAGAATATCCTTTACCAATAAGTAAATGAAACATAAGGATAGATGCAGATGTATATATATATTCAGAGAAAAATCTAGGGATTCTTTTTTTTTCCCCTCTAGAAAAGAAAAAAATAAAGATCTTGCTCAGGTCTCAATGAACTAAAGCACAGAACTGCACGCAGCATCTCCAGGAACCCAAGCTGAGCAATGAGGGGCTGCCAAGTACTTTCTGCTATGCAGCGTAGACCTGCTGTTCTTAAACGCTTTATATAGCTGACCCTGCTGTGTGAATGCAGCAGCAGCTGAAAAACAGAGCCCAGGCCACCCATACACTGGTCTGGAAACCTCCCTTGTGTAATGTCCTTGTCTATCAGGGAGGCTGTTGGAAATCAGAGTTCTTCCCCAACATCTAACTTCAGCTCCCAGCCAAACTTTTTATCTTGCAAGGGACAAATTAACAAGTTCATCTATAACTACTGTGCCAATTATATTGCTTCAGTGATCTGTCGCTGCATCTATCAAACTCCTTCAGGGTTCTGTGCCTGCTCATCGTACTTGTACACTTGTAATGTGTACTAAGGAGTTCTCTATTAGTAACAATGTGCTGTTTGATCTCACAAAAATACTGATCCCATGCATAAATAAGAGGCACCAGGAAAAAAAATGATTAATGAATTAACACAGTTTTTAATACAATTCAATGTACTATACAATCATCTATTGTTTTCCCACTACAAACAGGGCCCTTATTAACCTATAGTCAAGTGGATAATTCAACACGACACCTTTCTACTGGGTTTACTAAAATAATTTGCGAGTCTGCCTATTAAATGAAGCACAGAACTGAATGATGACAAGTTTGCTCAGATATCTAATGACAACACATTTAGGAAGCTGTGTGGAGTCCTGATTAGAGTTTGGACTCACTACTGGAAGACTGCGATTCAAACCTCTGGAGACGTTGCACTTCCTGATCCTATCACTATGCACTTCTTGTGTTTGTAAGTGTGACGTAGGCATTCATCCATGTCAACCTACTGCTTGATTAGTAATGTCTGAAGTAACTGCATGAATACGAAGAATAATAAAAAGGGTGCATTCACACACTGCATGTAAAAAAAATTGGTGGCCACCCCAGTACAGTCATATTTAAAACTAGGTGGTAGAATATAAAAAGCCACCTTTACACCTACCAAACCTAAATAAGGAAAGCACTGAATCTACATAAGAATTTTAAGTTTCTTAATTTTTAAGTCCCGAGACAGAAACAGCATCTGTTCTAAAGGTAATGTACAATGCACAATAACACATGAAACAGACTTTTTACCTCTAAATTCTTAATTATATTTCAATTTTACAACACTCTGACAATAATGCATTTAAGGTGGTTGTAGTTCAGGTGGGTAGCTGCGTCAGCATGCGTAGGCTGCAAAGGAACAAGTAATAGGTTTATTCCATGCTGAAAAAAAGAAGAAAGAGAAGCCTTCTGGCTCCACGGCCGAAACGTTGTGTTCTCTTTCTTCTTTTTTTCAGCATGGAATAAACCTATTACTTGTTCCTATGCATTTAAGGTGTATGGTAATGTTTTCACGAGAACTGTCCAAGGGATTTCATGATCTTACAGTCCATAAATGTGTTGTTCGCTTAGCCGATGCCCCTATCCAGAATTATTTACAACATATTCAAAACCTAAAGACATACAAAAAATAAATTGGAAATACAGTTGAAATTTCCAATTTATGAGTACAAATACTACTAAGTACAACAAGGTAATAAGGCAATCACATTTTGTAAATAGCAGCAAGTCATGCTATAAGATTGACTATGAGAATAAATACAATATGGAACACTGTAACATGCAAAATAATTGCCTTCCACTGCAATAATTAATTAACATTTTGAAGCAGCTGAAGGCAAAGCAAATGTACAATTAGATCTACAAGTCTTAAAACACATCCTTGGGCACAGGGCTGCTAATTCAAAAACAAATTAAAAAGACTCAATTAAATCAGGTATACTGTATATATGTCAAAGAAGCAGTGGTTAAAGCTGAAGATCTGAACTTTCCTCACACACACTGGGAAAAGCCATCAGGGAAGTCATTAGCTGGACCCACAACGGCAGAAATGGCTAACGATTGATTCTTTGCTCAGTTTATCAGAACACCTACTATGGGGAATGCCCACTATTGATCTAGTGTGTCCACACAATAAAGACCGATTGAAAGAACCATTAGAGAACTGTGATCATAACTTGATCTGGCCAGAAGCAGATTTTGAATTTGTGAGTCCAAAACAAAGGTTCACAATTTTAGGAAAAGAGACCAATAAGTAATGGGGTAGGTTAAGAGAAGCAGAGTGGTGCAGCAAAGACATGGAATTTAAAATACAACAAGTTTAAAAGATTTTTCTGCTTGGATAGTTACACAATATGTTCACCTAAGAGTAGGCAAATCCAAGGTCAGAATGCAGTCCCATATAGTCTAACAAAGCAAAGCAATATACTGATAAAAACACACTTAAGCGATCAAAAAGGAAAAGGACTCAGTTTAATAAAAATAATAGAATGAACTGAAAGCACAGGTTAATATGACATCAGAAAGGCTAAGAAGGAATATTGCAATGCTGGCAAAAATAAATACAAATTAGTCTTTTTCAAATTAGCAAAAGAACAGTAAAGTGTTCAAGGTCTGGTGTGTAAACTGAATGTTCACCACAAAAGAAATCAGGAAAATGCCTGAGGCTAAGGAAAGGACGTTCAATTTGACATCTTTTTAACAGAGAAAAGACAAAGGTGTTTCAGGTACTAGAAAGACAAATAGCTAGTGCCTAATGGTAGTCTACAAATTGTATTTAAGTTAAAAATGTTATTCATTGACCATTGCCAAAACTCTGAACAGAGTAATACTGTAGAACTCACATACTGGAAAACTGCTAGTGTTGCTTAACCATCCATAAAATGAAAGAAATGTAAACCAATTAACTCTAGGCCAATAAGTCTTGGTTCTATTACATGTAAGGCTATGGAAAAGAGGATAAAAAAAAAAACTAGACAACGGGATGGTAGAGGAAAGTCAGCATGGATTTAGAAAAGGCAGGTTATTTACAATTCAAAGGTCTTCGAACAAAAAAGAGCAGTACAGGATGCAAACAGTATATGATGAGTTATTTAGATTTACAGAAAGCTTTTAATAAAGTTTCTCATAAAAATAATTTATGAGAAACTTGAATGCCTACAAGAAAATACCATCTGGATTCAGAACTGATTAATGCATAGAAAACAATTGATACTGATAAGAAGTAACATTTGAAATTGGGGGTTAAGTATTAAGGAAGTACCATGGGGATCTGCACTAGGATCATTCATTTTAGCACAGTTAGCTTCCTAGTTAATTTTGCAAATGATACCAAAGCAACTGAATCAACAAATGCTATAAGAAACAACAGAGTAAATGACAAAATATTTTTAATTCAACACATTATATAGGCAAGTGCAAGTGTCACAAGCAGGTCGCAAAATCACGTCAAACGTCCAAAAGTGAGACGCTAAACCTGAAGATGCCACCTATGAAGACTTCATGTGGATGCATTATTTTAACCTTCTGCACAATTTGGGGAACAAAAACAGATACAGACAACAATGCCGTGATATAGAGTTAAAGGCAATGAGTTTAAATTGGGTGGTACCATGTTAAAAAAGTGTAATGCTATAGTAAGAGCCGTTTTAGAATATTAAATATTGAGATTTGAATCCCCACAGGCATTCAAGTTAACCCAATGGGCTTTTTTAGAACAGTGAAAAACAAACCAGAGGATACATGTGAACCAAGTGGGAAGGCATTAACAATGCAGAACTGGAAGCACAGATTTACAGAGGAGGCTGCAGGAGTCTGGAATAAGCGTCGGGTCTTGCTTTTGAAGCCAACGCCACCACATCCATCAGGAAATGACAGCATGATGTCCTTAGATCAATAAGATACTAAATGTGCTAAACGAGCCTAATGACCACCTTTCCTTTTGCAATCTTTATGTTATGTGCCTAGCAGCAAAGGCAAATGTATGCAAATATAAAATGTACATTGTTAAGAGAGCAGCAAAGGAAAAAAAAATATCCTACCACATGGGTAGCTTTCAGTGAGCTGCCATCAAATCGGGTCAAGCTTGAGCTGTCTTCTGGGAAGATGTCACAGTCCTCCAATTCCTGAGCATTGCATGGGGGCTTATCTTTCCCTGGGTCTGTGGCCTAAGCAGAAGATATATTTCAGTGTCTATGGTTTCACCACTGTCAAATCAACACGGAATTTTAAAACTCCCCTTTTAAAGATGTTTTACCGATACAAACAAACAACGCAAACAAAAAAATAATTACACGAGCCATCATGAACATGAAAAGTGTTACTTGACATGAAAATGGAAAAAAGCACCGGTGTCCCAAAGGGCCAAAAGATTAAACTGACAACCACATGGAAGTCCCAGGCTTTCTGATGAAAAATTCATCAACATTTCTGGGTGAACAGACTTTTCTCAGCCAAAATCACCCTCGTTCGATTCGATTAATGTTTACATGATTATGGAAAGTATCTAAATATTTGAATACAGTAAATTAAAATTAAATTACGAGCCAAGAACGTTGCAATCACAAATGAAAACCGTTACAAGCATTTTTGCAACCATTTTCACGTTGTTTCAGAACCAGGAGTATCAGAGAAACAAGGCGGATCTCAGTACATGGTCAAACCTGCACCTCCCAACAACAAGAAGTAGAGCTCTGACAGTGTTAAGCAGCTGTTCTCTCCAACACTGAACACAGCCTGGTAGATGGAGGTTTAGCACCGGCTGGAGGGGAGAAATGTCCCTCACCGCAGCACCCCGAACCCACAAGAGCCTGGAAGCCACAGGGGTTGTGGTGTCGGTGTTGGCTGAGATCTGAGAGAGCCCTGGCTGAGTATTCCCAAGTGAATCATGCTGGCGCCCAAGTGAAACACTTGGGAAACCCTGCTCACTGTTACGGTTTTTGAACGTATCGTAACAGTTTTGTAATTGCAACTACTGTATAAGTGATTTTCTTTCAGAACTACATTTTAAAGATTGTTTTTTTTCATCTATACTCTTCCTCTAAATAGACACGACTGAATCGAGATTTTTTTTATGTAATCTTTAAGAAGCAGAAATGTTAAACAATGCAATGAAATATGGTTGCCAACTAAAACCTGTATGAACCAAAATAAACAAATTATATCCCGGTCTCTGTGTAACATTCAGGAGCTTATCCAGTTCTTTTCCTGCTGTATAATAATTTAATAAAAACACAATCCAGGTGATCTGCCATTTGGATTTTATTGAATTAGCTACAACTTCAGCAAGAAATAATTACATGCACTAGAGTAGTTACCCTGTTATCTTGGCACCTGATACTACTCTTAAGAATAACAGTTACCATTACCGTATCAGTGGGTATTTGAATGCTATCTAGTATGATGAGGTAGTGAATAAGACACGGCATTTAAGAGCGAAAATAAGCTATTTCCTTTATATTTTAAACTATGGACTTCACTCACATTGGTTAAGGGGGAACCACAATGCCATTTTCATATTTCAGGGTCAGAAAGAATTGATATTGAGTGCATTTCAAAGCACAAAGAAAGTAAAATGCACACTGTAACTTGTAAAACCTCCAATTTCCATCACAAAATAGAAGCGCCATGGTCTGAGATTCAGAACCAGGAACATTTCCGGTGACGTGATACACTATACTTATATATTTATATACTCCAGACATCTTAAGCTCTAGAGCACATGTGAACACTCAAAGTACTGCCACATGGAGAATGCAAAGCTCAAGAGGAGAAAGAAATAAAGGAAATAAAGAATGATGTCATGACACCGAAAAATCCATATACTATATCAAACAATTAGCAATACAAGCATATCAGCTTACTGATGGTACTCACCAAATCCTCTGAAGTTAGGTGAGTTAGCCTTTCATGGATCAGAGCTGCCTGGGCTTGATCCATTATAAACTCCCCCCTCTGGTCACCTATAATCAGCTCGGGCCACATAGCACCTTCATCTTTCTTCTGCAAGGTTATCTCCAAGCTAAAAGGAAAAGATTATTGGCTGGTTATTGCGAAGTGCCTTGTTGGATGTCAGAATACATCAGAAGTATGATATAATAATACTGTATTCATTTTAGAAAGTATACAATATCAGATGCCACATAGGAATTGGATAGTAACTGCTAGGCGTAGGAACAGCAACTGATCACCTATTGCAATATGTCTATTAAAAGGTCTAAGAGCTGGTTTTGTGGGCTCAGATTAGCCAGAATCATATACTTAACATAAAATAACACCGGATAGTCCAAGACAGGTTCTAACTGGAGCCTGGGAGTCCTATTCACTGGTAAATGTTTATCATCATACAGTTCTGTCGGCCACTGCCGAAGAAACATTCCAAAACACTTATTAGAAAGAGGCTTTTGAAACATGACAAAAACACATGATCAGAAATAAAAGAAACACTTTCTCTTACTAAATGAAGGCTGTAAAGCTGATGACTAACAGTCACAGTTCTAGGTGATTTCTTTTGAAAATTGTCAGTAGTAAACTGGGATCTACACAGAATTTTGCCATTTGGCATTTTCTTGAAAAGGCTATTGTAATGGTAATGTGTTTATGGTGAACTGTTTCCTTTACCATTCTCTTCCATTGTTTTGCATATGTACACAATAATATACATATAATAGTTGCAACACCAGCTCCCAAAAAGGAAGCAATCCAAGGTGAACTGAATGTTTGTGCAAAGAAAAATATACTGACAGTTTGCTCTTCTCAATCCCCGCTACCTACTAAACTACCAATTGTATACTGAAGTAGAGAGTTTAGTCACATTAAAAGCAAATGCATTGTAATAGGACATTTTGTGATAGCTGGATCCCACATACACCACTCGCACATGCCTATGAAACGTGAAGTGTGCTTCAAGTCCCTAGATATACATCCAGCCTGTGTATCCAGAAATCTTGTAAAGTAAGGAAATGTAGGCCAGTTACGTGTCTAATTTTATTCATGACTTCAATGTCAATGACAAATGCAATTTGTAAAGGCCAATAAGAGAAAAGGAACGCTCTGCCAGAAATGGCAATGTTTTAAAAAGGTGACTCCTCCTCTTCACAAAACAGATGCAATCATGGACAGATGGAAGCATTCACCAAACGGTAAAGTATTTTAGTCCAGCATCCTGTTCCACTCTGAAGCTGACTGGGATGCAATTCATGTTCCAAGAAAGTCATAATCCCTTATCATAAGGTAATTTTAATAAAGGATGAACTGTTTTTAGTTCAGAGCGAGCTTTCTGTAACACAAAATTGACAATTAAGAACTCTAGTCAATGAACACGTTTCTTTCTGCATGAACCTCAGTAAAGGGGGAAAAAAAAAAACTTGAAATGTTCTAATAAATATGCACACAGCTGCATTGATTTAATAATGAGACAGAAACCCACTTCCCTGGTGACACCTTTCAATGCGTTCATGCTACCTCTTTGCTAGTGGCTTAGACTTAAGCAATACTTTTTAACATTCACTGCATATCCTGGTGCATTTACATGCGTTGACATTCGTGGCTATTCAAATGTAATGTAACTGAGGAAACTAACAACTTTTGACGCAGGCTGCAGATCGTAATGCTAAAAACCATGGAAAAAAAACGTGCTCTGCCACAGATGCCCTCAAAAGCTATGTATAATGCTGCATTACGATAACTGTGGTGATGATTCAAATCGGATTTTTATTTTCTAATGACCCCTAAGTGTTTTTAGCATATGCATTTAATTAATCCATGCAATCCTAACATGTACCTGGTCACATGAGTCCATTTCTCAATTGACAGTGGTGAAGAAACAGATAAATCTCCAATATTAGAAGACTTACTGTACATAAAATCTTACACAACTCAACAGTGGAACTGGCTCTGCCTACAAATTTAAGCACTTGGAAGACATTATGGCTCTTGATGCAATAAGAGCTCAAATGGCATCTTTATATAGACTCTTCTGAAATTAGAAAACTGATTTTATTTTATAATTGGCACACATAAAAGCAATCTCCTAAGAAACTTGGCACTCAAAGCCACTAGATTTCTGTCCTTCAGTGTGCTGAGAATCACAGTGGAAATGCTTTGTGTTTCTTCCCATTGCTGATAGTGCTCAATCGTTTTTAGGCCTTTTAGGGCTGCCTGCTCTCTTTGCATTATTTGAAACACTGTTGTAAATTACTGAAAACCAGAGACAAAGATTTAAATCTTTATCAGCTTGTCTCAATTTTTGTAATTGCAGCAAATAATATTACACCAATACATTGCAATCACCAGGCTGCTTCTTCCAATTACTACCTACCTGGCAGTACTCTGGATAAGTACCAGGTTGCTAGGATATATAAAGTGAGTCAACTGTTTTCAAACTCAATTAATCACTAAATGCTGTAGTGTGCTATATATGGTCGTTCTCCTCATTCTTGAAAATTTGATATATGTGAACTCAAAGTAATTGTGTTTAAACTCTGAAAACATACATGGGAAAAAAACATAATAAATGTAATCCTTCTATGCGAGAAAGATTCTTGAAAGCCGCTTTCAAAAAAATGTGCATTAAAGGAAAATTATATTTTTTTTTACACTGATGCTACAGAAGTCATAAATGATGCATTAGACAAACATCCTGCAGGATATTCACTGTACTTGACAATCAAAATTGTGCACGGAACAAGTGGTTTAGCTTTTCCCATTTCAAAGCGAGGAAAGAAGATTTGCACCTTTGAAAAAAATAATAAGAGCTGTTACTTTTGGGCTTTTAACTAAATCAAGAAGTTTATTTAGAGAGAACTTGAGTTTGCAAAGAAACGCTAGAAGCAGTTTCACTCAGACGTTTTCCATAAAGCAGCTTGTTAAAATGAGGATGGATCAGAGAGTGTGGGAGGCTGCTTTCAGGCTACTTTAGGGAACAGGGATTGCAAGCTCAGGTGCAGGGAAAAAGGCTCATATCTTTCCTGTACCCTTCATTCATTAATCTTCATGCTGTTTTTAAAAGTGCCCTGGAGGCTGGCAAGTTTAAGAATGAGACTATTGTAAGCAGTTTTAAGAATAGTGCATTCTCAGTTCCTCTCAAGTTCCTCTCAGTTCCTATGCCCAAAGAGATGCATTTGTTTTCTAAATCAAAATGTGAAATATATCCAGTTATTTACAGTTACAATGTAGTACAAATTATATACGATATGTAGGTTGTATATTTACATAAAATGGATTTACCCTGGATATACAATGCACTAAGCTCATCACAGATTTTTTTAAATTAAATTTGTTGTTTGACATACATTAATAAACCAGCAATTACCAATAAGCAAGATGCATTTACAACCCCAGTAATTACTTGTGTAGAGCAAATGCAGGGACAAGGCGGTTTGGAACAACCTTCCTCACTATGTTTTTGAAGGTGTCAATGTGAAATCCTTTTAAGAAATGGACAAACATGCTCTTGGATCATTAAGATCCTGTTGTTTATTTTACATTAGTAATATTGGAGAATATTTGTGCATTTCCTCCCCCCCCCAAAAGTAATGGTTATTTTCCACAAATACAACAACCCATAAATAAAATCATTTGCACGCATTAATATATTGTGAAAAAAGCAACTATTTGTGAAGGACATGTAACAAAAATAATCTTAGGAATTTAGAAATGGGTTAATTTGTGGTCATATCTGTCACTCCTAAAGAGAGTGGATGGATGGTTGAAAAGCTTTAGGCTTCTTGTGGCAGGGCAAGGGCAATAGTAAGTCACCTACAGTCCGCTTAGCCATGCAAAAATTACTCAAGCCAGGGTAACTGTCTCTGCCAGCTAAAGAGACTTTTTTAGGTCAGTGCATAGAACGGTGTGACGCTTCTATTAGAAAGACAAAGAATATTTTGAAGGAGGTTTCTAGTCAAAGAGTAAATACGATTAGAACTAGCAAGAGAATGTTTAGACGAACTAGTCAGTTCTCCAAGTTGAAAAAACTGGAGAACCCGTTTTGAAGGAGGTTTCTAGTCAAAGAGTAAATACGATTAGGGCTCAACAATAATTGTTCATATGAAAATGGAACAGTCATTTCTTCCCTAATTTCTGCCTTCTCAAGACGTTTGTGGATGGCAAATTCATAAAAGGGGTATACAACATTAAGAAATAACAAAAACAGCTACTCTAACATTGGCCCTACAATTATTTTTTTTTCTACACTTGGTTCCACAATTTAAATGAGGACAATTTAAAAGACATTAACATTATCAATGTTGGGGCGGAGTGGTGGCTCTGTGGCTAAAGATCTGCGCCTGTGGCTGGAAGGTTGCCGGTTCAAATCCCGCAGCCGGCAGAGGAATCCTACTCCGTTGGGCCCCTGAGCAAGGCCCTTAACCCCAACTGCTCCAGGGGCGCTGTACAATGGCTGACCGTGCGCTCTGACCCCAGGCTCTCTCCCTGTCTGTGTGTCTGTGTGTCCCATGGAGAGCAAGCTGGGGTATGTGAAAAGATAATTCCTAATGCAAGAAATTGTAAAGGGTTAATAAAGTAATGTTATATATATATATTATACACTTAATATAAAGGTCAATCTATCATTTCAAAGAAAACAAAAGTACTCAAAATGATTCTGACCACAGGGTCTCTGTATAACATTTCAGTATTGTCTCTCTGGACTTTGTCTCTTTTCTCCTTCAAACTGTCTGTGCCAGCAAAGTGCAAGGGTTTGGCACAGCTGTTCTCAGAGGCAGGACTCAGTGGATGCCTCTCAGGCTTTTATTATCTGGATTACAGTGTGGGCTACTGAACTGCGAGGAGGCTCAGAAATGCTGTCATATGCACCAATGCACTGTTGTGAAGCAGCAGTAAATCTTTAGTGTGCCGTGCTTCCCTCTTTCTGCTTTTCATTGTTGAATTCATTTTTACTTACTCCTGTACTAACTCTACTATGCAGGAAGCTTTTGATAGGTACGTGGGACATACTCTTTAGTGACATTTTACAAACAATATTCCAGCGCATTTTTTAAAACATGCCAAATATCTTCACAGCTAAAATAATTTTAAACACTGGGCAAAACTAATATTCTAATAGATGCTGTAATTCACATGGAGTGTCTGTAATATTCTTCGAGAAGGTAGTAACTTACCTTTTGTCATCTTTTAGTATCCATGTACTAGCTTCTGTGTCAACCAAAGAAGAAAACTGTCCTTTGATCAAAGGAGCATATCCACGTAATCCAACATTAAGACTGTCCATTGATAGCTTGAACTCAATGGCTTCTTTAGTGGTGCCTTCTGGGAGACGGACTGTGACTGTAAGATCCTCTGCTGTCTGTTGCCAATAGTAGATGGGAACTAATTAAAAAAAGATCAGAGATTTAATTTCTAAGAATAACTGGATGTTATTCTAAAACTACACACATTGGCAATGATATAAACAGGTTATTTTTGTTAAACTGTATTATCTAAGTGTTTATCCTACTTTAAAAAGGTACAGTGTACCCCAAAACCCTTTAAACATTGTTTTATGATGTGTAGACAAATTCATCTCATTTTGCATTACTGTATGTTACTGTACAAAAACACCGAAACCAAATGATTTCAGACAGGTGATGAGGTGTTTGGCACATAGTCTCTTTCACACTCCCACATCAGGCTGTATAATCGCTTGTCTGCTTTAACCACAAAGACAAAAACAGTATTTCATTTTAAAAGACTGTTACAATGTATTAGGAGTACACAGAAAACTGACAAACGGAACGACTCCAGCCATCCTTTCTGAAGGAGTAATTAACCCAGTTATAACCCCAAGAATAATTAAATTGAAACTCTATAAGCAATTATATTTCTTCCTTCTAAAACTTTATGGCATCTATTCAACAATGATGGTCTTTTTTACAATCTTGCACCAGATGGCCAAGTGACTATTTTAGAAAGAGCATGCACCCGATACTGTTTTTTTTAAATCAGTGTGTTCACCATGGCAGAATTGATTTATAATTTTCTGGATCATTCTGTAAGTATAATAACATACATATTACATTGTAGTATCAGAAAGTTGTCCCCAGCAGTGATGCAATCAGGCGTCAGAATATAATGGATACAATTACTGCAGGGCTTTAAACTGTAGTATCAGAAGGCTGTCCCCAACAGTGATACACTCAGGCCTCAGAATACAATGGAATACTATGATTGCAAAGGTTTATGGAATATTAGTTTCAATAACAGTACCATCAATGCTTAATCCAGCATTATCTAACGTGGGAAACCGTAAAGATCAGAGAAAAGATCAGAAAAAAAGTCAGGATGCAGCTTCTTTTGAGCAATGTGACTTTCCTGCTACATATTTCCTTATATCATAATTTTCTTAATTTAATATAAAGAAATGCCCTACAATATTAACAGCATTCAACTCAAGTGAGCACATGAAAATAAAAACATGAAAACATTCCATTGAATTATTCTAAAATAAGATAATGCAGCATGCGACTGCATAAGATTATCTAGGGCATCATATAATCGTCTCTTATACCTTTATTAAATGGTAGTTTTACATTCTTTATTAATAATCATTAAAAGCAAACACTTCCATATTTAACTTTCAATTTCGTTTGGAATCTAATGACAAGGAATGTTAATTATGACAGCGGTTTAATGAACCTGTCAAGTAAGCTAAGGGTAACAGAAACAGTGATGTTCATTAACTGCTTACAGTCATTTAATTTGTCATAAAATATTTATCCTTTCTGATAAAGGCAGAGTTTTCTGCAGTTACCGATTTTCAAAAGAGCGGGACTCCTCTAGTGCGACTCGCATGCAAGACAAGCGCAAAAAAGGGAGAAAAATCTCCCAGTTCACATCCAAGCCAGAACTACAGGATGCCCAAGGCACTCAAATGGCAAATTGTTAGGCCTGAAGCTTATCAGACTGTCTCAGTAAAGACCTTGAAACCAGAAAATAAGAAATCTAAGTCCTTTTTTGTAAAATGGTTTTCCTCCATCCACTACACGTATTTGTACAGTATAGTAATTAAATTGGTTAAGTCAATCAACTCTTCATTCTCTGTTGTTGAAAAAAAATCACCTCAACAACTATGTATAGGAAATGACCTCAGGTTACAAATTGTTCTGGGAAAAGTACCAGTGTATCGTGACAAGATCACCCCCACTATAATTGCAGCAGACGAACAGACCATAAAAAGAAAAACAGGAAGCACTTAAAGCAAAAGTCATCATGCTTGTTGTAATGTGTAATCAAAATACATTAAGAAAATCCTTTAAATATCTTGAAATCAAAAGACAAAGCGCTTAATTAGCTGGTAACTTCAAAGAGGCCATAACACTTGCTGCATAATTAATAGATACAGTGCCGGTGAGACATCTTGCCAGCTTAATAGAATTCCATTCTGTTTATCAGGGAGAGTTTGTTTTGCTATGGTGTGTAGGCATTGCTTGCTCAATGCAGTAAGTAGTTAGCAGAAATACCACAGAATTGTACAGTCAAAAAAATAAAAAATATTAGCTTCAAACATACAACAACCTCATTAACATCCAGTCAGCAGCATAACCAAGAGGCCAAAATGATTAGTCACCAAAAAATAGAACTAAAAGGCTTAGGAGTACCTGTGGTGACTACCCACCCCCGTGGGTGAAGGTTTGGGTTTAGACTCGGCTCATTCTCTCCTCTGGGCTGTTATAGACAACTACTGTATTCTCGACCGCTGAAGCTGACGAGCAGGACAATTGGTCAACCTTAGTCTTATAATCGTGCCTTTCAATACAGAGCCTTCTCAAGGCACTTTGATATTTATAAATAAAAACACTATTGTACTGTATATGGAATGAACAAAAAACAGACAGTTGGGAACATCCAAAGAATGAAAGACATTAAGAACCCAAGGACATCAAAAGCACAAGTTTTAAGGCAAGATTTTTATAATAATAATAATAATAATAATAATAATAATAATAATTGCTTACACTTATATAGCGCTTTTCTGGACACTCCACTCAAAGCGCTTTACAGGTAATGGGGACTCCCCTCCACCACCACCAATGTGCAGCCCCACCTGGATGATGCGACGGCAGCCATAGTGCGCCAGAACGCTCACCACACATCAGCTATCAGTGGGGAGGAGAGCAGAGTAATGTAGCCAATTCATAGAGGGGGATTATTAGGAGGCCATGATTAGTAAGGGCCAATTGGAAATTTGGCCAGGACACCGGGGTTTTTAAAACATCCAAAGACGATAAGGGTCCAGCTGAAGGCCCCTGGACCCCCGGCATTTGAAGTCCTCGAAACTTTAAGGAGAGGAGCCTAGAGCCTTCTGGATGAACTGAACAAACTGGGATAACTCTCGAAGGCACAGGGGAGACAGATCATGCAACGCCTAACAAATCAACAGGAGAATTTTAAAGTTCCCCCCGTGAGAGACTGGTAGCCAGGCCAGGTTTTTCTACATAGGAGAAATGTATTCATCTTTTTTGACCACATATAGAGTGACCATTACAGCAATGGTCTTTGAGACCCACTGTGCTTTAGCAGCTTTTACAAGTATGCTAGATGTACAAAATGTGTTTCCCACTACTTAATAGTGCATGGCGACTGCACAGACAATTCTCAAGGGAATTTTTCAGCACATATAAATACCAGCCAGTTATTTGTATAAGCTCATAGGGACTCTTGTGAGTCCATAGAAATGTTTGCATAGCATTTCTTTACAACTGAATTGGATTGCAGAATGACAAGAGTGTATAAAGAGTCCACATCATTGAAATGACCAGTTGCTAAACACAGCTTCAGACTTCACTGAGACACTCATTATAAGAGTACACAATTTCCAAACATGCATGACTTGAGTACTTTCCTAAGAAACATATTCCTTGTACACTGCTCTTAATTCAAACTTTCAGCAATGCAAAAGCCTTGAGATGCATAGAAGCACAAATTTACATTTGTAATATATGAATACAAGTTACATTTTTTACAGGTTATCATCATGTAGCATTAGACGGGAGGTTGTTTGGACTCAAGGTGGGTTTTGAGGATTATGCAGTTTTAAATCAATTAGTTTGCCACTGACATAAAACAGATAATGATACCAGCAGCAGGTCAACTGTAGCCGCTGCATGGCACAGCACTGCAAAGCTAAAGAAGACACATGTGATCTCTGCCTAAGACTACTCATTTCCAAGACAGTCATTAAAACAGCAGTGAATACACATTCACTGTTGACAGCAGTAAACCCCTTTTATAATATAACATAAAAGGGTGAAGTATTTTAATATTTAACAAAGGACCGAATGCTTTCAAAAAGCACACAATGTGTATTTTTATTCTAATAAGTTTTTGTCTACCCTGTGTATTTTATTATAGCAATTACTTCTGTCGTGTTTTTATTCAAGGATAACATGATTAAAAGAAGGCTCCTGAGGTCCTTTCATTGCTTTTCTAAAGAACAAAACAGTCACTATGTGCTTTAAACATAACAGGATTTTTCTTCAAAATGTCATTATGAGAGGCTAAAACATACGTGGGTCAACTAACTGAAATTAGTAAGCGATTATCAAAAAAAAACACTTGTTTTAAAATCCCATCCATTTGCACGTGAGTCATCCAAAATGATCCAACACTCTTGCGAAAGCTGAAAAAGTCAACACCAACAAATCTCCCTTCATACTGTTTAATTCAAGTTGCACAAATACAAAGTAAAAACAGATTTGAAACAGTGTGAAAAACTGCTAGAAGCCACCTCACAAATCCAAAACTTAAGTCAAAATCTAATGGATGGTTTTTGAATAAATCAGAAATATCTTTAACTTGCACTAACTTCATCCCATTTGAAATCGGCACAGATTTTAATCTCGACACTTTCGCTCCTATTGCAACTTTTGGATGCTACAGTGGTATTAATATGTTAATGACAAAAAAAGGGTGTAGAAACCAAACAGAATTAATTCAATATCACCTCATTAATAACGCGGAGGTACAGACGGCTTCTCAAGCATGAGTTGAACGCCATCCAATTCCCCAACGGGACTCCTTACAAACAAGTTAAAAGGTGCCAAACTGGGCAAAAAAATAGCTGAAATACATGCGAACACACGAGTTGAATCCATTGAAACGCGAGTGCAAGCAAACACAAAAAGCCCCCCCCCCTCCCCGAGAGGCTCATTCAATAGATGCACACTTCCCAGGGTGAGAACATGAACTTGGGATGCCTCAAAGCTGAGCCCTGCCACGAGCTGTGGGGAAGAAACAGCTAAATCATCCTTGGCGATAGGTGGATTCCTGAACCCTCTACTACAGCAGTAAAGCCTGTAACTGGCCAGATACCTGTATGGTTTAAGTGACCT